TCACATCACATGTGTGTGCCGTTTGGTAAAAAGCACGGGCACATGTGTGTACTTTATTTTTATTAATATAAAGCACACGCACATGTGTGTGCTTTGCGTAGAGAAACTTATACACTTCGAATTCTAACTCAAATCTTAAATTAATTTTTTAATATGTTTTCTGTCATATAAAAAAACAAACAACATCTCACTTTTTATTGAATTGTCTTTCAAAAAATAACGTTTAATAAACAAACTCTTTTAAGAATATATCGAGCCCTAACCGCCAAAATAACGTAAGCGACATTTTTTTTCAAAATTTTCTTTTTGATGCAGAAATGCATCTAGATGCTCTAGGAATATTTCTGCATCAAAAAGAAATTTTGAAAAAAATGTCGCTTACGTTATTTTGGCGGTTAGGGCTCGATATTATGTGCATGTGAATGGGCTGGAATTTGTACAAAAATCGGCTCACACACATGTGCATGTGCTTAATAACAAACAGCACACACTTTTCTGTGAGTAAAGTTTGTTTTCCACTTACGCACACACATGTGTATGAGCAGTGAGTGCAAGTTGAATATGTTTCTGGGGGGTGTGTGAGCAGAGCATGTGTGTGCAAATACGAACCCGAAAATTGAAATGCTGTAATTGAGAGAAAGAACTTGTCTACGTAATTGCGGTGGAAAGTATTAAGTTGCAACTCATCACTTTCGCGTAATCAATTGTTATTGTCTTCCTTAAAGTTTAAGCAAAAGATTGGGTAGTCCTACATGGCGTATGAGTAACATAATTTCTTGCTCATATCTCATTTAAGGTGGACTTAGGTTATATTACATTTACATTGGACCGAAATGCGTGATTTGAAATCAGTCATCTGAAGGTGTTTACACTACTTAGTTCGCATTTCCTTTGACTTCTCATCAATTGAAAAGGGAAAACGAAAACAAAAGGAATGTAAACAAACACTGCATGCCTTATATTTTTTAACACATTTTGGACACAAAAAGGCAATTATTGATTAAACTTAAAATGTGTAAAGGTTATGTAGAATTAACAATTTTTATATGCAAATTTCAAAGATTTATTCATTTCGTTGTCTTTGTTTTGATTTTGAAAAATTCCAAATGTCAAAGACAAACAAAAGCTTTTGTGGAACTTTTGTTTCTGAGTGAGTTCAATAAAATAGTACGGCAATTGGAACGCATTTTCTTCGTGATTTTGTTTAAATGCGTTCAAATGCGTGATTTTAGAAATGCGAATTTGTATGGGGAAATGCGTAATTTGGCTTCGCATTTATGTTTTCTCCCCCAAATGACGCATTTGGGTTCAATGTAAATGTAATATTAGCTTAGGCGGGCAGCTCTGAGAAGAGTTCACACGGAGGCCTCAAAGACCCATTGCGATGTCCAGGCGGCCCCCAAGCCTACCTTTGAATCATTTTGATTCTCTAGCGAAGCAGTCATTCCAGTGGAGCTTTTCCTAATATATCCAGGCTCTCCGTTTTACGATCTGCATCGCTAATAGCTATGTGACACTGCGAAAGAGTCACATGGAAAATATGTAGAGGAAGTAACAAAACGATTTTGCCCGTTCTTGCTCTGATGCTCAGCCTCTCCGTGGAACAAGTTCCTTAAAAAAGAACAAGCTTTGTCACTGTAAAGTAATTAAGGTCCTAGGTTTGTTCGAATTTTCCAAAAAAAAATCATTCAGTTCACATACGGGTGATTTATGTAGCCAGGGTTGTCGTAGGCCTAAGGATTTTCAGTCTATTTCGCATGGACTTAGATCTTAACGCTCATCTAACGAACAGATTGACATTTTTAGAAGATTTAAAAAGTATCTTAAATTAATAGAAATAAGAGTCTGACACTCCGACGTGGGCTCTTCTAAGAAAATTCTAAGAAATGCAAAGTCTAAGCAACTTAAATATTTTAAGTAATTTAAGCTTAAAATTCATTTAAACTTTGTCGCAAAACAACATACACACACCATCATAGACATGCACACAAAGGCGTACGTAAGTCTCGCAATAAAAGTTTTGCAAAAGTCAAAACAATTCATCTTAATAAGTTTGCATGTTCTACGAAAATAATTCCAAATAAAGTTTAGACGAAAAATGTCTTAGCATTTCATAAAAGTTAGCCAAAAATTGCGTAAATGTCAAGCAAATTAATACCAAACACCTGCGAATTGCACTCGAACCCTTTTAATGGCTAGCGGTGAATCGCCTTAGAGGGGCGACGAAGCAAGAAAATAGTGTAAGCTCAGCGAATTCACGGTCACATCAATTACGCGCACGTTTTTACTCATAGTTGTACATATGTACATACATACCCTGCAAAAATCTTTGTACTACATAGATCGTCCAATTGTCCCATATTGGAGTACTTACAAAATGCTTCTCTGTAATGCAGTAGCAGACCAACTTGTGTCTCTACACCAGAGGTACTGCATGGAGTTATCCCTTGGAGTAGTTTTGTGCTACTCTGATGTAATGCAGAGCTGGAGTATGTATTTGGTCCTGGCCTAGGATATCACAATGTGAATTTCGGTTAATTACGGACTACTCTTTGATTCTTAGGGAGCACTCTTTACATGCGTGCATGTATTATTATATATGTAGTAGATATGTTTGTATAATAGGGTGCTCCAAAAAAGCTAATGTCGGAATTTTAGTTCTCTCACCTCATGGGATTGATCTTTGCCGAAAAGAACATACCCCTGTTTCTTTTCTTTAATTTCGAAATCAAAATAATATATAGAGGTCCCTTAAAGCGCTCAAAGCTTTCCATGTATTTTATATGGGGGAAAAAATAGTTTTTCGTAGAAATGATGTATTTTTTTCAAATTAATATTTTTGGATCGGAGACTTCCAGTAAAAATACCCAATTACTTATTTGACCATTTTTTGAGGTTTTTGGGCGACCTATAAAAAATAGTTAGATAATATTAAGAAATGATAAAACAAACAAATTAGGTATTATTACTGGAAGCCTTCCGAAGCGAAGCAGAGTTCTCCGATCGAAAAATGTTAATTTTAAATAAATATACACCACTTCTACGAAAAACAGTGTTTTTCATATAAAATACATGGAAAACTTTGAGCGTTTTAAGCGAACTCTATATATTGCTTTGATTTCGAAATAAAAAAAGAAATAATATTAAATTGCCGACTTTATTTTCTGACGTGCGTTTCTGGACCATCTTAATGCTAAGCCTATCGCCAGGCGCGTGTCAAAATTTTGTTTGGCTGTCTAATATAATAATTGTATTTACATCAGCCCATAAGTGTATGTGCATGTACATATATAAATATGTATGTATGTTTGTGTTAAAGAGTGAGCTACAGCAGGGTAAAAGTTTTGCCTTGACTTGGCATTAAATGCGCTGCTTAAGGGCTGAATAAGAAAGCAGGTAGGGTCAGAGTGAAGAAAAAAAAA